TATGTTGGACGAATTATTTGGTGCATGCATATTTAGCAAAATTGATCTTAAGAGTGGTTATCATCAAATTCGAATGAGGGAAGGTGGTAAATGAAAAAAGGCATTTAAAATTAAATATAACTTGTATGAATGGTTGATCATGCCGTTTAGACTAATGTACCGAACACTTTTATGCATTTAATGAACCATGTTTTGCATTCATTCTTAGGCAAATTTGTTGTGGTTTAATTTGATGACATTTTAATCTACAGTAAGGACCTTAATGAACATATTGAACTTTTGCGGTGTGTGATAATAGTTTGAAGAAAAGAACAACTTTTTGCTAACTTTAAAAAGTGCACATTTTGAATGGAAAATTTTATGTTTCTTGGATATATGGTTAGTGCTGAAAGAATTGAGGTAAATGAAGAAAAAATAAAAACTAGTAAAAAATGAACAACACCTAAAAGTATAATCGAGGTAAGAAGTTTTATGGTTTAACTAGTTTTTATAGGCGAATTGTATGGGACTTTAGCACACTTACCACACCAGTCACTGAAATTGTTAAAAAGAGTGTAGGTTTTAAATGGAGCGATGAACAAGAGCATGCATTCAATACTATTAAAGATAGGTTATGTATCGCATCGATTTTACCATTACCTAACTTTAACAATACTTTTGAGATTGAATGTGATGCCTCAGGAATAGGTATTGGAGCTGTTTTAATGCATGAACGAATATCAATAGCTTACTTTAGTGAAAAGCTAAGTGGAGCAGCTCTCAATTATCCTACATATGACAAGAAGTTGTGTGCACTAGTTCGAGCTTTGAAGACATGTCAGCATTACCTATGGCTGAAGGATTTCATAATTCACATTGATCGTAAGTCATTGAAACATTTGCGGGATCATGGTAAGCTGAACAAAAGGCATGCTGGATGGATGGAATTTATTGAGACGTTTTCTATGTCATCCGGTACAAACAAGGTAAGGAAAATGTGGTGGCGGATGTATGTGCTTCTTACTTCTTTAAGTGCAAAGTTGCTTAGTTTTGAGTACATTAAGGACGTGTATGTGAACGATTTAGATTTTTCCAACATATATGAATCATGTAATAAGGGTGCAGTAGACAAATTCTTTAAGCATGATGGTTATTTATTTCGGGAAAATAAACTACGTGTTCCTAATTGTTACATGCATGAATTGTTGGTTGGAGATGCACGCAGTGGAGAACTAATGGGTCACTTTGAGGTTACAAAGAGTTTAGAGATGTTAAGGGAATATTTTTATGGCCTAAAATAAGGATTGATGTAAAACGAACTTGTAATCGATGCATAACTTGTAAACAAACTAAGTCTAAGGTTCTACCCCACGGATTGTATACTCTTTTACACCTTCCTAGTGAACTCTGGGTTGATATCTTCGTGGATTTTGTTTTAGGTTTACCTATGACTAAAAAAGGTCAGGATTGTAGTGGTCGTTAGGTTTTCTAAGATAGCGCATTTCATTCCATGTCATAAAACCGACGATGCCACTAACATAACTGATTTGTTCTTTGAGAAAATAGTGCATTTACACAGGATCCCTAAGAGTATAGTGTCGGGTAGAGATGTTAAATTTCTTAGTCACTTTTGGCGGGTTTTGTGAGGTAAGTTAGGTACAAAATTGTTGTTTTCTACTACATGTCACCCACAATCCGATGGGCAAATCGAAGTAGTCAATAGGACTATGATTCAATTGTTGTGCACTGGGATTAATAAAAATTTGAAAAGTTGGGAAGAATGCTTACCTTTCGTTAAGTTTGCATACAATAGGGCTATACATTCTACTACTTCATGTTCACCATTTGAAATTGTTTATGGTTTTAATCTACTAACACTATTGGATTTAATTCAGTTACCTGTGAATGAACATGATATTTTAGATGGAAAAAAGATGGCAAGGTAAGATTGCAAATTGAAAACAAAGACAAGCATTATGCGTCACAAGCTAACAAGGGCCAGAAGAGCATTTCATTTGAACTTAGTGATTGGATTTGGGTACATTTGAGAAATGAGTGCTTTTCAGAGCAAAGGAAATCAAAGTTGCAGTCACGAGGAGATAGACCATTTCAAGTTCTCGAGAAAATAAATGATAATGCATATAAGTTGAATCTTCCTGGTGAGTATAATGTTTCAGCTACTTTTAATGTATTTGATCTCTCTCTCTCTCTCTCTTTGATGCAGGTACAGATTTGAGGACCAATCATTTTGAAGAGGGAAGGGATGATGTGAGCACAGAGTCGAGAGCGTCAAAGTCAAGCCCGGTAAATGATCAGTTGATTATCGAAGGAGGTCCAATGATACAGTTCTAGAGCAAAGCAAGTGAAAGAGGCGATGAGATTGCTGGCTCAAGTTACGATGGACAAAACGCTGATCACGACGAGCAAATGAACAAGTTTCGTGTTGGGCTCGAGAGTAGAAACTAGATCGATCAACATGATTCAAGCAACGATCGAGGAAGCATAGTTCATTCTGATCACGAATTTTTCCAAATTTCGTATAATCTTCTATTTAAGTTAAAAATCTATTTTGTAATATCTTTTGCTTTTTTTTTTGATTTAATTTCGTTTTTAACTAGGTTTAATGAGTTCCCTATAAATAGGAGTCATTCTTTTTATTGTAAAACACAACATTATTATTGAGATTTATTAAGAGGCAAATTTGTTTTCGAATTCTTGTTCTTCATTGAACAAATCACGAATTTATCAAGATTCTTCTTGTAGCGTTCAAATCAATCGGGTGAGATTCTCAAATATTCAATCAAAATGGTCAAGATACCGTTCGAGTATTGTTGGTTATTTTGATTCGTTATTTTCGAATCAAATCTAAAATTTTGATTACTTTAACTTTCTTGGGTTCGATTTTAATCTAATTGTGTGTTTCATAGCTCTTCGCTACGTAGATTCACATCAGAAGCTGTCCTTGTTGTCTAACATGTGGCCCACAATTATTGAAAAATGGTTGGAAAACATTGGTAAAAAGTTCAGTGACATAATTTGCAAGTAAGAATAAAGTTCACTGACCGCACTCAAATTAGTAATCTGAATTGAAGTCGATATTTAAAGTGAAAATTACACAAAACCATACTTTAAGTATTCAATATTCCAAAATTAGATTGGAAGTTTGGTATTTCCAAAATCAGATATTTTATTTTAATTAAAATTTATAAAAAATAAATATGCTGCAATTAATCCCTAATTAGTTCTCACCCCCCTCTCTCTACATTTTCTCACCAGTCCCAAATACCTATCCAATGCACACACATTACAAACCCTAATTATAGATTTCTCCACTTTCTGTCTACTAAGAAAAATTGATTCCCTCCATTCTTTCTGTATACCAATCGTCGTCTCTCTCTTCTGCTTCTCTCTCTCCTCGTCATCTCTCTCACTGGCATGGCACCAACTCACAAGCGGCGAACCTCTCTACCTCTCATTCTCTCTCTCCTCCTCGTCGTTATCAGCACGACAAGGCACCAATTCTCACAGCGGCGAACGACGTTGCTCATTATGTACAGTGGTTTGAGCTACCTCGTCCAATCTATTGTGTGATGGTTTGCTACGGGGATCCTCGAGAGCAGCCATACTGGTTAGACTACTGCAACCGCACTGGTTAGTCAATGTGGTGGTGGAGGTGGCCGATCTGTGTTATGTATGCCGATTTGTGTGTGTGCTGATTTGTGTGGTGGTACTGGAGATCGATGCTGTGGATGGGTGGTGTGGTTGGATGCATTGGTGGCAGTGGGTGGGTGTGTGTGCTATGGGTGTGATGGTGTTAGTGGCGTGGTGGGTGTGTAGTTCTGGTGGCGACGCTGATGGTGGTGATATGGAGGCTGTGGTGAGGTGGTGGGGTTGCAAGACTGCATTACAGTGGTGACTTTTGTGGGGTGTTTGTGATTTTGTATCTATTTTGTTGGTGGTAAGGTGGTGCTAGTTGCTGTGTTTGTGATGATGGGGCTGCCAGGAGATGGTGGTGGTGGTTTTGGTGACGACAGTTGCGATGCCGATGCAGTGGTAGAATGGTGGTCACAATTGTTGGGTCACAAATGATTTAATATGTGACCTCTAAACCTATAAACAATATGTGACCAATGAGAAAGAGGAATTGTGACCAAGAAATAATGTGACCTTAAAATTCGACAATTTGTGACTAAAAATTAATTTGTAACCAATAAATTTGAAAATATGTGACTGATAGATAACTGCGACATGTAATTTTTTTTTCCGTGACCAATAAAATAATCTGTGACCTATAAAAGAATTGATTTGTGATATCGAAATAATCCGTGACCTATAAATTTTTTATCTACGATCGATAAACAAATCATGACCTATAAAATTATTGAGCTGTGACCGTAAAATAATTTGTGACGTAAAAGCCGGAATAAAGAGGCGGCGGAACGGTTACCGGAAAAGCCACTGGAATAATTGTCGGAATTGAAAATGTCTCCGGAACGGTCGATGGAAAAGTTGTCAGAATCGAAAAAGTCACCGGAAAAGTGGCCGGAAAGTTCATCGGAAAGTCATCGAAAAGTTCGTCGGAGTATAGCGGTGATCGGAACAGTCACCGGAATAGTCCCCGGAGTGGTAGGGGTGGTGGTGGAAGTTGGATGGGTTAATTATATTATATTAGAATTAAATATTTAGTAAATTGATTTAATATTTATTATTACATAAATAAAAATAAAATAAAAATCTGATTTTTGAGATTTGAAACTTGTTTTCTTATTATTGAAATGAGTTATACTTATGCTCTTATTTATGAAATTTTCCCATATTTAAATCAGTATATAATTTTAAAAGTAATGAAAAATATTATTTCTCAACTAGAGGCCAGACTAATAAGACAGACAAAAAAAAATTCACATTCATCTATGTAGAACTTCACAAATAACCATATGATTCAAACCAATTCTAATAGACATGACATAATTAGCCCACTAATAAAATCTCATAAGCTGCATTAAAGCGAGATTAACCTCTCATTTTTTCGAGAATTTAGCCGTCAAATCCCTAAGAAATTGATCGAAATTTCTGTCTGAGGATCCAACCAGTGCAGTTTGCATGATTTCCCTTACTCTCTCCATCTCTTCTTTTAAGCCGTTTGATTTGCCACCACACATCAAAATCTTGATCTTCTCTCCAACTTCTTCTCTTGAAATGGATAACCCATCGCAAAGATTAATTCCAATCTTCCAATCATCAACCACTAATTTTCTATTTGTAATCTGATCGGTAAACAGTGGATAACAAATCATTGGAACTCCACACCATATACTTTCGAGTATAGAATTCCAACCACAATGTGTTAAGAACCCTCCAATGGCTGGATTTGACAGAACGAGATTCTGATCACACCAAGGTACAATCAATCCTTGATCTTTAATCCTGTTCTTAAATCCAACTGTTAAAATTTCATCATCATCATAACTTACAATACCTGGCCTAAGCACCCAAAGAAAATTCACTTCACTAAGCAAAAGCCCTTCTGCAATTTCAAGAATTACATGTTCATCAATCTTGGCAAGACTGCCAAACGAGACATACAAAACTGATCCAGGAGACTTGGTTTTGAGCCATTCTGTGCAGTCTGATTCTGATAAAAGACTCCTGGGGACAGCGTTCATGGAGAAATCTGTGGGAAAAATCGGCCCCACTGCGTAAAATGGCTGGTTTTCATTCAGTGCTGATACTGCTTCTGCTTCAAGTTCTTGCACTGTGTTACATAAAATGAAATCTGCACTTTTCACCTCCTCAGATGCAATGAACATTATTGTGTGTATAATGGTTGACTCGGGACCTTGAAGATAAGACATGAAATCTTTTGTATTAATGAATTGAATTCCAGGAATATAGTTTATGTTTTCCTGTAAACCATTTGCTGGGACATGGCCGTTTCTCCTCAGAAGATCTAAATGATAATACAGAGAAAATACAAGTGCTGGTTCAGTCCAGAATGAAACATTCACCATTTGATACTTTCTAGCAATTTTTGTAGTCCAAACACATAAAGTATCAGCAACCAAGAAGTAGTTATAAGAAGATGATGAATGAGAATGGAGTATTTTTCCGACAAATTCATCTACTAGAGTTGGGAAATCATGCAAAAAGGATTTTGCATACTGGTCTAAGTTCCCAGACCGGTCAAATTCGACCGGGAAACCATCGCTGATTGTTGTGTAATGGATGTCAAGGCCAGAATTTCTTGCTTCACTGAAGATGTCAACTTGTTTGGAGTTGCCTTGAGATTTGATAATCTGGTGATGAATGAATTCGAGGTGAACAAAAGTGACTGTGATGCCCTTTGAAGCGAGTTTAATGGCTAGATTGACAAATGGGATTATGTGGCCTTGTAGATGGAACGAGATCATGATGGCATGGGGCTTGCGAGGATTCTCTATTTCTGCCATTTTCGAACATGAGACTTCTGAACAATCAAGCGTCAAAATGTTTTGCAGACTAAAGATTTTTGAAAAGCTTTCAGAAAAATAAACTTTTTCGTATTTTAGAAGTTTTGATGCAAAAAGGGCTTTAGAAATTTTATATTAGAAATAATTGGGGAAGGTAACGGAGAAAGAGGGAAAGCTAATGGACTGGTAGGAGGGCGGAAAAGTAAAAGAGGTAGAAGGATAAGACTTCTGCTCGAATTTTTGTTTGACAAACGATGTATTGGAAGGTCGAATAATGAGACAAGCAACAAGTTGGAGAAATTAAATCAATTTTGTACAACTTTAAAATCACATAACTACAAAATTGGAAAAATTCGGGCGGTATATAATTAGGAGTGGTACACGTAGATGGGCCCTATATGTTACATACGTATAGATTTTTTCATATGAACGATGCTATATGTACAGAAAAAAAACTCACAAGTTTTGCACGGGAGGACATGCTATAAGTACTGGGAAAAACTCACAAATTTTGCACAGAAGACAGCTGTCCTTAGTGCAAAATATGTGGGATTTTTTCTAGAATAATTCTGATTGTACATAATTATTGACCACAGAAATTGGCCAGAAACTCACATGGGGTGGGCCCCATGTGAGTAAAATATTGGAAAAAAAACCACACCCCTCCCACCCTGAGAGATCTGGCCACTTTCCTTAAGAGTAGAAGGATTGTTTTTTCTATACCTTCAGATTTATTCATAGGATAATTCTATTTGTACCGAAAATGGTGTATCGAAAATGTTACACCTTCTCACATGTGCGCGAGGCTTGCATGAATAAAAAACTCTCAAATGTGTGGTCTCCAGTAAAAAAAATGTATACGTAGCATAACCCTTGTTCACAATAGAGTGCCAATAATTTTCTGGCGTCCAAGTACAATGTACAGGTTGCAAAGGACCTATGATTGTCCAGATGGGGCCGAAATGGTCCGGATCTTCTGATGAGTACTTTAAAGGCTCACAGCTGATAGGGTTAGTGTGCGAATTGATATTTTTTTACGAAATAAAAAATTGATAATAATGTATGATTAAAAAATTTTAAAAATTGAATTTACGTGTAATATTATTTTATTGAAAAATATGTAATTAAAAATAAAAGAAAAATACATATATTTTGAAAAAAATGAAGATCAAACAAGGGCTAAATATAACGTCAAAAGAAGTTTATAACTTCAAAATCTACCCAAAAAATGCCAAGTGTAACAGGAAAGTGCACGAGTATATAAAGTACATGTTGTATAAGGCACGGTACGTAATCAGGAGCAGACACAGAATTTTAAAGTTAGGGTGGCACAATCAAACTTGCAAAGAAATTGAAAGAAATTTTACAATCGAAAATTAAAGTCGAAAAAAATTATACTTTATGTAATTTTGCATGCGAAAATTTACATAGAATATGACTTTTTCGTATGTAAAATTTCGAATAAATTTTATATCACATTTCATATAAAATTTCCTAATAAAATGATGAAAATTACATTGAAAATTTTGTATTGCAAAAATAATAAATGTTAATTAAATAATTGAATTTTTTTAAAGAAAATATTAGTTAAACTTCTTTCTTTAAAACTCACGTTTAAAGCAATTTTAACTATTTTCGATATCTGTTTGGATTATTTGATATGCCTATAATTTAGTTATCAAAATAACCTTTGAGATGACATAAGTAATTTGTAGATTCGATTAGCGTACGATCGTCGAAA